AGACTGTCAGAAACTTGTTTAAAGTAATAAATTAGCAGCTTCAATCACAGGAGCAGCTTTATTCCAAGGACATTCTTTGTGATGACTAGAAGGAAGGGCACAACAAATCGTCAAGAAGAAAGGGCATTAAGACATTTTTCTCTTAACTAAGTTAGTGTGTAAAACACACAGAAAGTAGTATTTTGGAGTCTGCAATGAGCTCATCTCAGGGTACACCATGCTTCTGGGTTTTGAGGTCCGGAGATGGGTGGAGGTCTGATTTTTAGGAGCCTGGAGTGTTGATACCTGAGCTGGCTGTTAGGGGGTTATCTTTGGCCACCTCCTGCAGTATTAATAAGCAGACAACAACACTGAAATTTAACAGTGGCGCCACCAGAGGCACGCAGGCCCAACAGGTTTAGAAGTATGATAGATTTGGTTGATAACCTGGGAAAGGGTTGCAGTTTTTAACTGTAGAAAGTTAAATTTAGCTGGGTAGTGGTGGCACAGCCTTTAATCCCAGGCAGGTGGCTCTCTGTGATTCCAAGGCCAGCCAGTCTACAAAGAGAGTTCCAGAACAGCTAGGGCTGTTACACTGAGAAAACCTATCTTGAAAAACAACAACAGAAACACCAAACAAACAACAAAAAGAAAAGAAAGTGATATTGGTCAGTACCCTCGGGGTAAGCCCTAGAGTAGCCTCCCGACACCCACAGCTTACCAGTGGCTTTTTCCTACAAGATGCTGAGGAGGAAGAACTGGGAAGCATTTGGAACACAGCAGAGGAAGGATGTTGGCTTGTCATCCCTAACAGGAGCTGTGATCTCTCCCAGTTGTGAACACCCACTGGGAAAAGAGTCCATTGTTATTGGGAAGATTCTGTAGATGTTTTCAGCATTGATTGCGCTGCATCCTCTCTGCAGTGAACCTGCTTGAACCGGCTTCTTTGCATGGACTAGCTCTATTGATAATGTCACAGGACATTACTTTTATAGTGAGCTACATGCACTCATAGTTTCTTGTTGTAAATGGCATCATCTATTATAGCCTTCTCAAGCAGCTACTCTGGCTTCAGATCTGTGAGTGGTTTGGGTCTGTGAAAGTCTGAGGTAGTAACATCTTATTATTCTTTAGAAAGTTGCAGGATAATGATGTGCAGTCATATCGTCAATGATGAACTGTGGCTAGAACCAATAACACTGGTTTTTAACCAGTTCCTGGGGGGAGGGGGAGAGCAAAATTTAAGGAATCTTTTAGATTCTTTCATTCAGTGACCCTTTTGTTAGACTGACGTGGTGGAAAGCAGGAACTCATGTAGTCTGACACTCCAAACTCTATAGAAACTTGTATCAGGTATGTGGAGGAAAGGAATAACAACATTTTCGGAGACTCTTAACTTCTAACCACATAAAAACAGCTGCAGCTTTTGCTTTTGAGTAATGTCTGGCAATCATGGTAGCTGAGTATCAGAATCCCTTCAAACAGCAAAAGAAAAACAAGAAACTCAACTGTTTGGTTTAATGTAATTTACCCCACGGTTACAGGACTCTAAAATTCAGCGTGGCAGAGTGGATTTAGTAGGAAGAGTTATGATTTAATAGGAAGAGTTAATGCTTTATAAATCTTAATAAACTTGATAGGCATAAATATAAAGATTTAATTGCTGTAAGCAAGCTATGAAATGAAGTCCTGTTATCATCTTCATTAGACCGAGTTTGAGTAACTTGTTCAATATTACATAGTATCAGGGTATAGGCTGAGACCTGACTGAGTTCACACAGGGCATGCTCCTGAGTCTTTTATCTGATTTGCTTCTCTTTTACTGAAAATAAGTTAAGTCATTCTTAAAATATTTTGAGTGTTAAATATGAGCCAATATCTATAAAGATAAAGCCAAGGTTTAGGTAATAAGTAAGGATTATAAATGATTTGTATCAAAATTACCAAGTGAGATATTTTTTAAGACTTTAAATTATCACAAATATTTATTGAGAATATTAAGACGGCTCTTGTAGTTTTCCCAAAGTAGCCTCACAAGGTCATACCGAATCAGACATTTCACAGATATGGGGTCTAGATCCGCCTGAACTCTGTGACTTGATTGTACTCCCAGGCCGGATTTTCGTAGACCTTTGCTTCCTTTCTTCTTCTTTTTTCCTCCCTTTGGTGATTATGGAAAGAAAGTTCTGTGTGAACCAACATTGCTCTTCTCTGGATTAAGTAAAATAATGGTAAGCTTTGCCCCCCAAGCCACACCCTCCTTCACGGATCAACTAGTGCAGTGTGCGTGCTGAGCACCATCTTTCTTTGCTCTGCAGTAGCAATGGTGTCTTTTAACTTTCCCAGGACTGTAACGTCTTCATTGCTTTATCCATGGCTTATGACAGAATTAGATAATTCCATCCATGTAATTGATGAGCGTGCAGAAGGAAGAACCCTGCATTCCCTGGAGAGATTCGAAGACCAGGCTAAGAACCAGCCAAAGCTGGTTGTTAAAGCACACAGTGCCCTTTAGTGTTGGCCGTTGCATCGGAGTCTCTTGAATTTAAATCCACATATTGTGAACAGCACAGTCAATGCTGGATGTAAAAGCATCACATGTTACAGTAGTTTAAAGGAAAACTGCTCAAAGTTGTGAGCTGGTGTCAGTGCTCTGAATGGATAATGCTTGTTAAACTAGTATGAGTTTCAGTTCCATTTACTTCAAATAACCATCTTTTAACTAGTTGTAGAAATTAAGAAACTTCAGAGGATGGAGAGGCAAATATGTATTGAGAAACTGCCACGTGCTGAATTCATGTTAGTAATTTTAAAAAATACTTATTTCTCCTGTGGCTTTTTGAACACCTTAAGAAGTTAAGGAATGAGGAGTCTCAGTGTTACCAGTTTTTGGGCTGAGATGGGTCTGTCTACCTCTTGAGTTCTTGATACATTCCAGATGAGTTTTTACAAGTTTGATTTCACTCCTAGCAGAAAGTGGCTTTAATCTCTGTACTGTGGAGGTCTTCGTGAGCATTTGGCATTCAAAGGGCACATACCCAAGCACTCTGTTATTATCCCCACCACCCACTCCCTCTTTTGTTCAGTATCTTTTCCTTTGAAAATTAATTAAAAATTATGAATACATATGTCTGTGTCTGTGTGAGTTTGTGTAAATGTGTGTGGGTGTCTGCAGAGAGCAGAAGAGGGTGTCGGATCCCCTGGAATTGGAGTTACAGGTGGTTGTGATCCTCCGGGTGCTGGCGATGGGAATCAAATTGAGGTCCTCTGCAAGAGCTGCCTAAGCTCTCCCCAGTTCCTGGTTTTTGCCCTTCAGTTTTACTTTCACAGAACAAGATTGGGGAGCAGGGGAGAGAGAGATGGGACACATGCCAAAACAAAAGGAAAATGTGGACGGTCTTGAGACAGGAAAAGAAGACTTCCTGTGCTCGTTCTTTTCGTGTTTTTATTTGGTTCCTGACTCCAGTCCCTGGGATGGTGCTGTGCTGCCCACACTCGGGGCAGGGGGGGGGTCCCCCCTCCTTAGGCAATCCCCTGTGCATACGTGATTTTGAAGTTGCACAGTTGAATAATGCCATGGTCATGCGAGGTAGCGTCAGCATTTTGTTTTTGCCTTTGGGAACATTATTTTTGTGCATCCAGATTATGGAATTTAAAATAAAATTCAGTCTGGGTTGATGTCTTAATGGGTAAAGCACTTGTTACATACATGTAACTACTTGAATTGGGATTCCCAGAATTTGTGTAAAGCTGGACTTGGTGGCACATATCTGTAATCTCAGCACTCCTATGGTGAGCTGGGCAGTAGAGACAGGAGATTTCCTATGACTTCATAGGCCAGCTAGTCAGTGTACACTGGCAGGAAAAAAATGACCCTATCTTAATTAACATCCAAGATTGTCCTGGTACATATGTGTCCAAAGTAAACACACACACACACACACACACACACACACACACACACACACACACACACAATTTAGAAAAGTAAGTGTAACTCAACTAGAAGCTAACTCGAGTTATGAAAATAAATGAAATAATTAAAAATGAAAATCTTATATTGGCATTTTATATACGATTTTGAAACTTAGGGAAAAACTATGTGATCTCATACTTATAGAAAAGTTTTAACAAGAAAGCATGTGTTTAAGCTAGCATGTTTGAAAACAAGGTTTTCTCCCCATCAACTTTTCACTTGCATCAGATAGAACAGGTCATTGAGTTCTTGCCAAGCCATCCCAGTGGGAGAACAGATCATTCATTTGTTACTAGGCCCTTCTTTTCTTTATTGCTTTCTGAAAGTTGTATGGTGATTGTGTTTTGTGTGTATCATCCAACACAGTATCATCCTTAGAAATTTTTGTCTCTGTCCAGTTCCTGGCCCTCACATCTTACATACCCCTGCAGTATTCTTACCCATCCATGTTGGAAGATCAATCTGTTTTAGAGTTCAAATGACTCCCCTCTTGGAACATGGAGATAAAGCACTCTTTGTTGAAATGAAATCTAGTACTGTTTTAGTTAGTGTGGAAATACCATGAGAGCCTTCAGGCAAATCCCAAGTGCGAGAAAACTCATTAAGTAAGAGAAATCGAGCTTTATTTTATTTTGTGCCAGTGGGACTCTAGCAGCCTAGTGGCAGACAGAAGAGCTGTGCCAGTTTTAGGGTGATGCTCAAACTGGTGATGTTACACCCATGTAATTAAAGGTATTTGTAAATTTAATTTAATACCCAAGATGCTGTTTTCTTAGTTAAAACTTAGAAGAAATATAAACATTCAATCTACAATTTCAATAAAATAAGTATTTATTTTGTATTACTCCCATTATTGTTAATATTAAATGAAATCATACAGAAAATCTACTCCTTTATCAGGATAAAAAATATAATACAAAATGTAAGATGTTTTTATAGAAACAGAGAACAAAAACTGCATTCAGTAAGTCGAAGGAGGAGACCATTTTTGTATTATTGGCATGAAATTGTACAGAATTTAATATATGTGCATTTTTATTTTCAGATTCAAAATGCTAATGATGTATTAATTGCACCCCTTGAGAAATTTCGAAAAGAGCAGATCGGCGCAGCTAAAGTAAGTGTGACTTTTCTCTCTGCTTAGCAAGTCTCCTGGTGATTAAAGGTGGTATGACATCAGATGCTAAAAGTCTCCTGATGGCTAAAGGTGGTATGACATCAGATGCTAAAAGTCTTTTGGTGATTAAAGGTAGTATGACATTAGATGCTAAAAGTCTCCTGATGGCTAAAGGTGGTATGACATCAGATGCTAAAAGTCTCCTGATGGCTAAAGGTGGTATGACATCAGATGCTAACATTGTGAAATCAGAACAACCTTTTAAAATATTTTGTGTGTTTAAAATGACATCATTTTAAACTCCCCCCCTTTTTTTAGAGAGCCTATTACAAAGCTGGAATTCTTTTAAAAAATAAATGATATTCTTCTCCTGTGTGTTCCACGGCTTCCTCCTCTATTGAGTGGTGGTAATGCACTCTTCTGAGGAGAGGCTGAGAATGAGAGTTTGTAAAATTAAAAGAAGCACTGTTCTTACTGGAAATAAAATAAAAATTAGGTTTACTATGTACTGATAATTCCATCAATAATTTAAAAAGAACTTTTATTATTCTTTGTAATGTTTTTCATGATGAAGGTTTTGTGGGAAAAACTGTAAATATATTTGACAGAAAGCCTTTGCATTACTCTTCATTAATTATGGGCCAGCTAAATTTTCTCTAAGCTTAATTTTGAAATTGACTTGAATTTACTCTCTTTAGTTTTTATTTTACATATTTACTTATTGTTTATTGATTTGTATATGTTCCCACACACATACTATAGTGAGCTTGTGGAGGCCTGAGGACATCTTGCAGGAGTTGCTTCTCTTGTTCCACTGTGTGGGTCCTGGGTATTGAACTCAGATAGTCAGCCTTGTCTGCAGGTGCCTTTACATGCTGATGCATCTCACCTGATACACTGTCTTAGACTTACATTTTCCTCACTTGCTCAGCATCATGTACACACCGTAAGTAAGTGTGAGGGCTTTACCATAGAAACCACTATCTTTCACCCTCGCTCTTTTTTGTGAACTTTATTCTTGGACAATGTCAGATGTGTGTATGATGTACTCTCTCTTGCTCCCACTGAGGTCTTCAGCATGTCCCCCTCCTACATTTACCTATGTTAGACTTTGATGTAGTCAATCAATGACTAATTATTATTAATCTTAATAATACCTTCCACAAGTTGGTCCCTTGCTATATTTTACTCCCGACATGGGTGTTACTTGCCTTCCTCTGAATGCACCTGAGTGTTGCATGAAATCAAATAGGTCTTATAGTAAAAGACCCAGAGCCGAATATTGGGGTGAATGCTGAAAGATCAGAGAGACAAAGAAACGAGCCACTAGAGAAACTTCTCACCACTACGGAATCCTCAGGCCAAATGGAAGGCGAGATCCTATATCCACGAATCCTGACTGAAAGCCTCTGAGTCCTCAGCCAAAAGGGCTTAGTTCCTGTCTCCTCACACCTTATATGCCTTTCTCTGCCCAGCTGTTTCACTTTCTTCTTAGTACTGGGATTAATGGCGTGTGTGCTTCCCAAATACTGGTAGCAAAGGCATGAGATCTCAAGTGCTGAGATTAATGGCGTGTAACTCCCAAGTCCTGGGATTGAAGATGTGTGCCACCACTGCCTGGCTCTGTTTCTCTCCTAGACTGAATCAATCTCATGTAGTTCAGTGTGGCTTTGAACTCACAGAGATCCAGACAGATCTCTGCCTCCAGAGTGCTAAGATTAAAGGTGTGAGCCACCACTGCCTGTCCTCTCTGTTTAATCTAGTGGCTGGCTCTGTTGTCTGATCCTTTGGCAACCTTTATTTGATACACAGTATATCACCACACCTGAGTGTCCATACTCTTGCTCAGTTCTTCCCCTTTCCCTGGACTATTGCTTACCCTCTCCATTTTGAAGTCCTACTAATGACTTATGTCATGTGGCAGCATCAGGCAGCAGACTTCCTCACTCAGGCCCCTTTCCAATGTTCTTTTCTCGTCTACAAGTGACATTTTCCCTTTTCATAGGTCTGTGTATTTCTTAACCCTGTTTCCCATAATAAGTCATCAGTGTTTGTCTTAAATTAGAGCGTGGTGTGCACTTCTCCACCAATTTAAAATAGATTTACATGAAGAATGAATCAGAACCCCTTCTGTTAATTAACTCAGCAAATATTGACTATTCTCATGGTTGCCTACATGGCAAGTCTGGTATTTGATAAGATTAAGAAACACAGCTGTAACAGAGAGCTGTGTTCCTTACTCTGTGTCCCTTACATCTTGGTGGACAACAGACTCTAAAGCCGTGGAGACTGCACTGAAGACTGTGACATGAAAGCTGAAGGATGATGTGCAGGGTGCTGTGAGTGACGTCAGTGGTGTGGACCTGAAGTAAAGCCATCTTTCACTGCAAGGGCTCCACTTCCTCCATGATGTTTCTATAGCTGGATAAGGAGGACATGAGGCATTCCCTCCTAGGTCTAACACATCTCATGTGTACCCAGTCCATCTTGCAGGAAGTAATTTCAGTTGTTGTGGATGGCTGCTTCCTCCCCGGAAGGCTGGCGTGAGCTGAGGCTGCAGATGCAGGAGCAGTAGAACTGCTGTTTTGTGTTTGAGCATGTCAGTCACTGGACAGAACAACCGAGAGTACACAAGAGAATATTAGGATATAGTACCACCATCCGCTGGCTGGGATGCTAAGTGTGAAGCCAATGACTGTGAGCGGGAATACTTGGTCGTCTAGCATGCTGATTCTGTTTCATGTGCCTGGTGCTTTTACTTCTGAATTGCTAAGGGATCTTCAGGAAGGGGAAAAGTGAATTAAGAGGAAGTCTCCTTTTCTGAAGTGTACGGTATGTTAGCTTTCTTTTGGGGGTGTGCAGTGAGCATCCGTGGGGGTGTTTGTCTTATTTGTTGCTTCACTGCCTGTTTATTTGAAGACTCATTTGGTATGTAGACCTAATTGTCCAAAGGACTCTGAAACTTTTCAGTCTGTCCAGTGGAATTTCCCACAAGCATTTGGGGTCAATTAACCAGCCAGGATGGGGAGACCAGGATAGGATGAGCCTAGAATCTTGCATGGCAATCAGCTAACTTTCCACCCGCCTTCCCTCCCGAAAGGAGTGGAAAACGCTGAATCAAGTGTCTTTGGTCTCACCGCCAGACAACACTGTTCAGCCCCGGCCACAGACTTTTATTCTGCCATGTGCTCTGTGGAGCTTTGAGACACCTGATCCTCCACTGTGGATAAGTGTGGCTCTTAGTGAGTTCCAGTTGTGGGAAGGAGCCAGGCTGTGCTGAGAGAGGCATTTGAGAAGATTAATGATGGGTAATTGAACCAGAGGACAGGAGACCGGTCCTGCTTTTTTTTGAGTAGCTGGAGATTAGAAGCCTTATCTATAAACAGTTGTCACGGATGTATTTATCAGAATGTTCTTGGTCTGATAGTATACGAAGAATTGAGTTCTATTGTAAGCCAGACCTCTTACACATGTCAGTAGACTGGATTGAATGTTTGGTTTAATTTATCTCATGACATTGTTGATTTAAATTCTGCAAATATGGACTGAAAGTAGGTATTCAGAACAATTACCATGAGTGAGAGTTCCCAGTGTGTGAATGTATCTAGAATAGTGTTCTTACAGAGCAAGCTGAGTCATAGCCTTTGGTAGCCTTTTTGGAATACAGTGACACATGTATGTCCTTGACTGTGCTGGAAATCTCCTTGCTTCCAGAGGAAATGGAGCGAGGCAAAGCCACAGCCTCCCTTGCATCCTTGTTCCTGTGAGAGCTCTGCACCTCTTTTCCTTTCTCCTCTGACAGCATCTTGCTGTGCTTTCCAGACTGGCCTGGTACCCGATTTGGGTTCCAGGCAGACCATGAACTCCATAAGTTTCCTTGCCTCCTCCTAAGGGCTGGCATGACAGGAATCTGCCACAGCATCTGGATGACCTGAGTTTTAGTCAACAACAACATCTTTCAGGAAATAGAATGGATAGCTATAATTGTCACTCCCTTTGTAAATGGAAATGACATTGAGCACCTCCATCTTGATGCAGCAAAGATAAAAAATTTATTTCTGACACCAGAAGTGTTTTGACTCTTCCAGGCTCCCATACTGCTCTTCAGAAAATTCCTTTGTGAGATATTCAATTTTCTTTATTATTAGCAGATAGATGATTATGCATCTTAATTATGAAAACCTTTTAGGTGTGGCCAAACCTATTCACTTCAAACCCAGCTAGTTAATATGGTTCTCTTGCGGGTCTCTGGGATTCCCAGTACACAGTAGGTGCTCAACACTGACTTTTTTTTTTCAAGTTAAAAGCAACTTGAGAAATACTGGCCATAAAAGTTGGAAGCTGTTTTCATGTTTGTGAGAAATGCTTTTTAAGACGTTGGTTTTTATTTTTGAAAGCTTTTAATGGAAATCATGTGAACATTTTTCTGTGATTTTAAGAGAAACAAACAATGCAGCAGTAGTCACTGCAAAGCTTGACTCTGTTCTTTTACATTGATTTCATGTTGAAGGCTGTAACAGAGCACAAACATCCCTTTGTTCCGCCTGCAGCAGGGTGTACTTCTGCCTCAGAACATTTGCTTATTATTTTTAAATGTGCCATGCACATGTTGCTTTACTTTGTAGCATGGAGAAGAAAAATCCAGGCAGAGCTATCAGAACTCTGTTACAGCCACAGAATCCCTCTCTGATAAAAGGCTCCTATCTGCTGTGTTGTCTGGTGTATATCAACAGCTTAGATGATTTTGGAGAATTGTAGATGTTCTGAATGATAAAGCTTTTGTTCACTGTTTGAGTTGATTGTGCAGCGCAGTGGACGATCTGGGACATGAGATGAGGTTAATCTGGAGAGAGGTGGTTTATGTTCAGCATGTGGATTCTGTAGATCACTTTTTACATTTTCTCCTGTAGTCAACAGCCCCATAGATACTGGTCTTGGATGGCTTTTCATGTTCTGTTTATGGCTGCCCAGTAGAGCATCCTCCAGCAATAAAATCATGG